TGATTGCTGGTTCAAAGATCAAAACCAACTGAGCAGGACACCAAATAGTCTAGTATAAAGCCAAACACTTAGATATATGTGAAGACTATACCAGTAAATAAAAGTGTATGAAATCCGTAGAAATCAATAAAGCAGCCAAAACCTCATAGAGGGAATGAGTATCTGAAAGCAAGATGAAATTACTTTTAACTGTTGCATAGGCCTAGAGAACGAGAGAGAGCGAATGAACAAGAAGTATTGCCGAACGAGAAAAGACACGATTGATCCCAAATCTGAATTTCATTTTTACACCACAACCGTTTATAAGCATTGCATGCAATAGAAGACTCACATGTTTCAACATTGTTATTTAAAGAGAATAAAGCTACTGGGTCTATAATGCATCCGTTTGGAGCACAATCTGTAGCCACTTAAATTTTCGACAAACATGAAGAAAAATCATATGATATACAACCAAATCATGAGAGGTCTCATTGGTGAACACAGTTAAGCTATAAGAACTATGTAAGTTTGCGGCCTGCCACTTTTCTTGCTCGCATTTAAGTATTATCTCGAGACTACCAGTAATTCAGTAATATGAGATGTATTCACCCAGTTTCGTTTTAGGTGATAAAGGACTGGTAGAAGAATTTTCCCACAATGATACGAGTAGAGCTGACGATTCCTTAGAATTTTACATAGCCTTGTTTTCACAAAGGTGTTCTCATCCAGAGTTGAATGCAGTTTTGACCTCTCAGAGCTTTTATCAATTATGTATAATTATCAACAAAACCGCTTAATCAAAGATATTGAGACAAAGATGGTATGACCCCGGTATGGTCGCAGTCTCATTTCGATTTATAAAAGTGGGTTGACCTCGTTGCCGCGACTTGGTCTTGTTGTCTGGGAGACTTAGTAGAAGGCACTTTGTCCGAAGTCCTCTGCCATAATAGTTATCCTAATTCCCAGCATCAGACAGTTGACTTGGTACATTCTCACACGTTTCGCCGGCATCGTAGTCAGCATCATCAGCGTGTTGTGCCATTCTTCGCACCAAGCTATGAACTCGTCAAAGAGACAAGTGAAGTCTATCCCTCGACAAACGTTCTGCCGAAAACAGTTACACTATCACTTCTCTTTCTGTCTTGGCCTATCCATCTACTCTTTATTCTCTTATCCCACTGCCGCCCTGTCACAACTTCTCATTTGTTTATCTTCCACTCGTCAAAATGTGTGCCATTAAAAAAAAATTGAGTGTGGCCTTATCACACCTATAATTCACACTGAACCCCTCCCCTTTGATTGGCTAACACGACTCGGGCCTGGTATTCGGATCTCCCTCATGATACCGTAGATCTTTTCCTTATCATTCTGGTTGACCGATTTCACTCGGTTTCAGTACCAGTGTAGGTTTTACACTGATCGCAATTTCTCAAGGACCTAGACTGCCACGTCACCGAGCATATCGCATATGCTCTGATTTCCATGCTTGCAGATATCAGTCATTGCTTTCACGGATCGTCTTCTTGATTAAACCTGTGGAATCAGAGCAAACTGTGGATACCTATCTCTGGTCGCATGCGGCAGTTCAAGTGGATTTTTAGTACATTTTTGTAATAACGACAAATTTCTGTGACGGTTTGATTATCCGTCTGCCTAGCTAACAGAATGCCAGGCCCTTAAAGTTATACTGGTTTATTCGAACAGTCATCCCTCATTGACAAATTCTTCGCTTGATTCCCGAAAATCCCAGCCCCCTTCCTTTTCCCATCGCGATCCTGTTCCCTCGAATAGCGATAGATCCTTGATTAAGCCGTCCCCTTTTTTCAGGTCTTGCTTTTTTCTTGTTTTACCCGAATTTTTTTAAGCAATAGGCAAGGGTATCGCTAACTCTACCTTCCGTCAATTTCCTGTTCATCAGATTTTTCTCCGCAAGCATGTCAATGTCCTCCATAATCCTCCACTTCCTTGTGTTTCCATCGTATCAGGCCTTCCAATTGATCTCTTGGCCAGTCTCAGCGATGTGTTCCTCAAATTTTGATTTTTTGGTATCCATTTTTCTGCCGAGCCTTTGATGTTCCTTGATTCGTATGCTGATTCGCTCCCTGCTTCGCGAATATATTTCTGTTCGCAGGCACGACATGCAATGCAGTATACTCCAGAACAATCTAATTTGTCTACCCTCTCATGTTGCGTCGGTAGACTTGCGAAAAGTGTTGTTTTTTCTTTCATGGCTACTCGAATATTCCATTTCATTAACATTTGACGTAGTCTTTGAGTTAACTCGCAGGAAACGGTTACATGCAAACGTATACATAAGCAAAATTGACGATAATTTTAAGATGTCACTGCTACAATCACCAGTGCTCATGCGGTACCTGGAGGATTACTTAGTATTTGGTGACATGGAAGAGAAAAGCCTGACGAGTTTATAAACCAGATTGATGAAAAAATTAAATTCATGATGAGAGTAAAGGGAGGTAAGCGGTAACTGTTTCTGGATGTTGAAGTGATTCGTTCTACTATACCGCTCAAAAAGTAATTGTTCAGAATGAAGTCTTATGTCAGGCTAATACTCAATTTTCAATCCTATCGCAACTACAGGCTAAGAGAGGAGTAATAAGGAGCATGATCGTCCGAAGCCTACGTTGAACGGATGTGAAATTCTGGGACGAGGAGTTGGATAAATTGACCAGGATATGCCTCGGCAACGACTACTCAAGCGAAGTAATACAAAGAAACATACGGGTCGTGAAAAGCT